GCAGAAAAGCTTTGGACTGATGATTAGTTCACTTAAGAAAGGAAATATCAGTGGGAGTTGCTTTAGATGGGAGCATCTTGAAATTATTTTTACACTCATTGTCTGAACATGCAGATGAATTCTAAATAAGGTCACGGACAAGATTAAACACTACAGATGTGTTATGACAGGAGAAGAATGATGTAATTCTGCTGAATAAGTGGTAGGGGTTTGCCTTGTGGTCCAGTGTATGCTTTATCAGTGAGTATGTGCTTTTTACCTTGGTAATGCTTTGAGCTTCCCCAGGCCACGTGCATGTTTTCAAATCGAGTGGCATTGTCTGTTAGCTGCCTGTTTCTCAAATCAAATTGGCAAAAAATCCCTACAAAGGAGTTCAATGATGTTGCATTGTACAGGCTTGAAATGTCATCTATTAAATACTCAAAATACCTTACTTCTTAGAACCTTGTCCCTAGTGAATTTTTTTTTTGTCCTCGCTGCTACTCAAGACTTCACCTGTTGAAAGGTGATGTATTTGTAATGGCAAAACAATACTGTATCCTGGGTTTGCAGGTGATGGAAGTGCTTTAGTCTATAAACCCTTCTTCACCACTGGAGACAAAAGTGGAGCTTTTCTGTGACTGGGAGAGTTGTGCCTTGGAGAGCAGGTCCTGGTTTGCTGTGAAGGGCTTCCCAAGTACAGTCCCAAGCCCTGGCCTCCTGCACATTGTAAGCCTGGGTCTGTCAGAGAGTTCTTCGGGTGCCTCAGTAACTTGCTGTACCAGCTCAGTAAATCAAGGTAGTGTGCTTCCATAAGCCAAGTGTATTTGACAGGAATTGCTACCAAAAATTCCATGACACTGCGCTTTCAGAAATGTGTATGTAGCAGTGAACAGGAGAGCAGGATATTTCTGTGAAGTCTGGCTCTGGAGACAGGAGAGCCCCAACTGCACTTTAATGGTTCAAGGCTCAGAGCTGGCTTTAGGTGCAACTCCTGCGTGACAGTGGGAATCACTGAGAGCCTGGGACTTCAAAAAAAGTGCTGAATGCTATGGTGCTCCTCCCAGGCAGAGTGATCTGAAATTTATGACAGTATTTCCAATCCGTAGAGTAATGTTAATGCTGGAACTACTGGCATGGCAGAGTTTGCTCCTCCCTTCATATGTGGTCTCGGGGAGATAAAGGTGGGTCTCAGGTGTATGTCTGCTATATTCACCGAGGTTCTGCTGTTAAATACAGGATTGGGAGATGTAAGTACAGTTACAAGGTTCATTTATTAGGAATAAATTCAAAATAATTCTGGTTTAAAATTGCAGCTTTACTCTGTAGTAAGATGCAGTGAAATTACACATTGTTTCAGCAGTAGGGTTGTGTTCCTCCAAGTTTGTTAGTTTATTGTTAAGCTTCACTGTTACAGCTCACTGGTTAGTGGTGTTGGTTGCTCTAATACAAGTTTTGTGTACTTCAGGTGTAGGTTACTAGATAAGCAGTGCACTGCGTGCCCATGTGCTGCAGAGTTGAAGTCTGAGGAACCACAGGTCGTGAAAGAACAGTCCTAACCAGTAGTTTCCAACTAAATTCACTAGAGGTGGAAAACAAAAGGCAGTAGTAGAAGGATGTGCAAGTAAAACAATTCCTAGTCAAAGCTTCAGAGTAGATCCAGAACCTGTACCTAAGCTTTTCTGCAGATTTTGGAGAAGGTGAAGCTGGCAGCTGTTGGAGTAGTGTAACTAAGCCTTGTATTCTTGCCCAGCCCAAAGTGGAATTACTGCAGTCTTACGTACTTGTGCATGGAGGCTTTGCTGCTTGGCTTGTTTATAACTAGTCACGATGTTGGGAATTCTGTTGGAGAAAACTCCTGTGGGATAGAACAACAACTAAACACACAGAATAGAACATAAACAGTAAAATGCCACTAAACTCCGGGATTATTTACTTGCCAGCATGAGACACTTGCAAAGTTTACATTTAGTTAGTGTGATCAGATCTGGGTTCTTGAAACTGGTATAAAAATGGTGCTTATTGCAGTGTGTATATCCAAGTGGTATTTCCCTAGATAAGGAGATCTCCAACTGCTTGAGTGCTCAAGTGCAGTGCTGTTGGCTAAGTGATCTGGAACAGGGGATGGGTGTTGAGTTGGTCTCCCTTCTGTGTTCTTTCATGTAAATAGTGTATTCACTTTTAAATAGCAAAGTCATAGCAAAATTAAACCAATATAATTGATCAATAATGATGGCTTTTATTGATAGTAATTTTCTAAAATGTTTAGGCGTAACTACATTGGCAGAAGAGTGGAAGAAACTGCTATTAAACACATTTCACAGCAGTTCCATTTATCTTTGAAATCCTGGTCTGGGTTGCAGTTCCCCCTCAGGAGCCTTTACTGAACCAACAGTTGTGGGTTGGTTATTGAAAATGACCCGTCGTGGTGAATTCTCACCTGCTCCTAGTGAGTGTCACAGTGGGACAGCTGCTGCCTTGTCCCTCTTTATACCAGTAGGAGACCATCTCCTTTCCAAGCTGCAGGGGTGCTTAGGTATTAAATCTGCGTGTTTCAGGAATGTGTTCTGATCATAGAATCAGGGAATGGCTTGACATGGACCTTAAAAAGGTGCCATGGGCAGGGACAGCTCCCAGTATACCAGGTTGCTCAAATCTCCATCCAGCCTGGCCTTAAACACTTCAGGGACAGGGCAGCCACAGGTTGTCTGGGCAACCTGTTCCACTGTTGTACCACCTTCAAAGTGAAGAACTTTTTTTTCTAACCTAACCCTGCTCTCTCAGTTTGAAGCCATTCCCCCTTCTCCTGTCAGAAGTCCCTCTTCAGCTCTCTTGCAGAGGAACCTTCTGCAGGCTGAACAACCCCAACTCTTCAGCCTCTCCTCCTGGGAGAGGTGTTCTGAATCACCTGATCAGTTCCTAAAACTCAAAACATCTTCATAACTCTGCACAGGCATTTCTGGAGGAGAAATTTCAGGAAGAAGTCTGGGATTTGGGGATGGGTGGGGGGGTTGGGTATGGAACAAAATCTTTGAGTGTAGCTGAGCTGACCTGCTTTTTAGCAGATGGAAGCTTCCATCTGAATGCTATTTAGATTTGGAGGGATGTTTTCCCCAGAGCAGTGAATAAATCCAAACAATTTGATCATTTCGGCAGAGTCTCGAATAGTTGATGTAAATTTTTAGAACACATCTGAAACAGGAATTATCACAGCGTATGTTGCAATCCAGGCTCGCAGCTGCAGTGACTGATTAAAAAAGTGAGTTTATTGCCAATTCGTGCTTATTCTCAAAAATGAGTTCCCAGAGAGCTGGTGCAGTGCAGTGAAGCGGGGGGAGCTCATGCTTACAGGTACCTGAGATACCTCCTGTTACTGACTGGCTGCTGCAGTGTTTACTTCAAATGCTGCGTCTCCTACGTACAGTTTGATTTGAATGAATAGGGGAAATGGCAATTAGAGTTCTGTGAGACCAGTGGCAGAAGGGGTCAAGATGTCATGCAAAGGCTGTGTACTCAGTCATCAAGTGCCCTTGGGTGAAGCTTTTTCCCTGCCCTCAAATAAATTGCCAGGTCCCTGTAGCTTTGTTGGTGCTGCTTTTCATCTGGAATGGTGTTGGCCAGAGAGCAGAGGTTCACAGCTCAGTTCCAGGCTCAGTTCAGGGGGGTGAGATCTCCTGAGGGGCATATCTATAGCCTGGAACAGCTACTCAGATGTTGCATCTTCAAAAGCAAACCAGAAATGGTATCTGCAGCTGAGCTCTGAGCTGCAACAGGAAAGGAAAGGTCTGGCAGAGCTAGAGCTGCAGACATCAGGGTTTAACTGTAATCTAAAGGAGACTCGATCAATATGGCCTTAAAGGTTCTGCACGGTGGTTCTACATCTGCTTCCAGGACAAGATGTCCAAGAAAGTTTGCCAATCCTTCAGAAATAGCTGCATTTGTTACTTAGTAAGATACAGACCACTTCCAGTATCTCCCTGGATCCTCTCCTATCTAGGCAGTCCAGAATAAGCTTCTCTTCTAAGTCACCAAGAAATCTCTAAAACAGAATCAGGCCTTTACCTTTGAGAGTCAGGGACTGAGTAAGACTCCTGAGGTAGGAGCTCCTTGAATAATGTGGCTTTTAAGTGGTGATGCAAAGGGACACAGGCTCGTCTGGATTCAATTTAGAGAGCGCCCACATCCCTTTCCTTTAACGGAGGGGAGTTGGAGACCAGGGAACTGTTATTTTTAATGAGTTGACGAGGCAGCCATGGCAACAGTTACACTTGGCATAAATACATGGCCAGAGTGAGGAAAGCAGCCATCTGAGTGGGATTTTTATCTTCAAATATTTTGCAGTTTAGAACAACGTCAGTCTTACATTTAGTTTTTGTTTATGTTCACAGTGGAAGCGTCTGAAGGATCTGATGTGTGAAGTATTCACACAATTTTGTTATCTAAGCAGCTATGCAAAACACTTGAGTTTGTGAAACAAAAAGGGATCTTTAGCTGGTTTGATAAAGTGTGTGGAGGATGAAGTTTATAGAGTTTGTTCTGTTAGAAAATGGATGGTTTTTAAGGACAAAGCGAAATTGGAGAAGCGAAGGGTAAATTAGCAAGAACGTGGAGTTAAAGCTGCAATACAGGTGAAGGCTTGGTCTGCATTTCTGTGGTGATTCTGTTAAATCCTGTAAGAAATGATTGCATATTCATAGGCAGTTGAAGATTTAATCACTTTGGAGTGTAGAATGCTGGGTGACTGGCCTTTCCTGGAGAGGAGCCTTGCAGATTTGAATTAAATGTTCACAACAATGCTGAATTACACAATCTTAGAGTTCAGAGTGGTAGAGGCTTGATTTCTGCTCTGAGCCAGGGCTGTCATCTGCCTCAGCTCAGGGGCCCGTGGTGTCTACTGAAAATACATTCATTGGAATTGGTCCCCTAACATTTCTCCCATAGAATAGTCAAGTTACAAACCCAAAGTCTAACACACTTTTGTATTGGGAATTCGCCTTCTGGAGCAATGAACTGTGCAGATTCCTGTGGTGCTGCACTGCCACTGTTATTCAGGATAGGTGACATCACCCAAATCTAAGGCTGGAGAACCCAATCCCAGCTGCTCCTTTGGAAAGCAGTTGCCTCCACAGCAGAGTCACAAACAAGGCATCAGGCACGTGCTTAGGCCAGCTCTGCATTCTTTCACAGAGGCATAAAGCACGGGAAGGACTTAAGGCCTTGGGCTTTTCTATATTATTTTAAGCTTAGGTGGTTTGCTGAGTTAATATTTCAGTTTCTGGGTAACAGGAGAAGCATCGATATTAATCCCCCTTCCCAGTATTGACAACAAACCAGGAACCATCCTGGGGTACAGCTGACATCTGAACCTTAAACAGCCCCGAGAGCCAAGCTGGGAAGTGCAGGGCTCTCTCAGTTCCAGACAAAGAACACTTCTGAAGCAGGGAGAGCCTCAGCCAGGCTGCTGGAGGAGACAAAGCCGTGAGGGGCAGGGTAGGTGCACTGCACTTTTTGGGCTGTAGATAAATGATTACTCACTTGATCAACACAGCAGTTTCATTTCCTGCTCCAGCGAACGTTTCCATGGTGACCTCCAATTTCCCATAGTTTTCCATCTATGGAATTGATGCAATTTAATTTTCAAGACCGTGAAGTACTTAGCTATGATGAAAGGCCATTCATAAATTCCTCGAGATAATTATCTCAGTAGATATACAGTGGGAGTAAGGACCATAATGCAGTAACACCCCAAAACCCCCTCCCTTTCCCTGCAGGTTGGCACATTCCTGCAGAGGCCCACTGGAATCCACTGGGAGTGATTGCAGCAATTCAGGGGCTGGGATGTCTCTGATAAAATACATCAGTTATATAAGTACAGAATAGGCTATTCTATCAGCTATCCTTATGGAATTGCCAGTGCAAATTCCATAGTAACCTTCATAAAGGACTGAAGGAGAACTCAGTCCAGAAGTGGGCCAACATGGGAATAATTTGCTATTTTGCTTCTCCTTGAAGACTCTACACACTTAATCTGGTTTGTAAGGGGAAATGTTATTGATTCAAACTCTTCCTTTCCCTCTTACTTTAGAAACAAGGCTGCTCCCTGGATCACACGTACATCTAGGTAACACTGTTATTTCTGACATCCTGTGAGCTTTGGATTTCATCTCTAAACAAGGAACATTCAAGATGCTAAATGATTGAGTTGAATCCTGGTAATACAGCTGTTACCTGTGCAGTAAAGCACATAACCAGCAGCTGAGGAATCAGACCCTAGAAGCACTTACTGGGCTTCCCACAGAACCCAGTGCAGGCACTGGAACAGCTCAGGCTTGCACGTGCCAGGCTGAGACCTCTGTGCCACCAGCACTGCACCGATGAAGATAAACACTGTGCACTCACCCCAGAGCCTCTGAGAGCCCCACCTTGATTTCCCAGACACTTTGCTCAGTACTTCACAGATCCACAAGTAGTAGTCCTTAAATGTAGGAAGGAAATTTCCTGTGAAGGAAATTTGCTGTTGGTATTCACTGAAGTAGCAAACCTAAAATACAATGTGGAAAAAACCCTCTAAATGTAACAAAAAACTCTCATAAAAGCAAAAATAAGAAGGGAACTGGTAGATGGATGCCATGCCTGTTTGGGGAAATCTCCCTTTCAGTTCCTCAGTGTGATCAAGGTTCATGTAAACTTGATCCTACTGGATTGTTATTGGGAGGAGACAGAGGGGAAAATTGCATCTAAATTGGAAACTAATTCAAATTAATAACAAAGAAAACATCTGAGCTACTGTTGTGCTGTATGGGATTCCTCACTTAACTATCCAAATGCTCGGTGTCTAGACAGCTGTACACTCGTCAGGCAACAGAGAGAAACAGGTTCCTCACAGTGACTCATCCCACCTACCTTAAATTATTACCTTGGGAGGGGATGATTTGCCCTCTGGGGGTGCCAGTCCATGGGCCTGTACAAGGTGTCTAGACTGCTAATTTTTAGATGTCTGAAGATAACTAAAATTCACCTAAATCACCTGGCCATATAACACTGAAATAAAACGTGCCATAATTCTCTATTAGCACATAATTATGTGTACTGCACACACACTGTGCTGTCCTTGTGCTGCCAGGACTGGGCACATCCATGTTGTGACACCTGCTGAAGGCACAGCACAACTGTCCCAGAAAAGCAGTAGCATTAACAGGTGCCTCTCAGTTCATCAAGGCTAAGTTTTAAATAGATAGGTTGTGTTTTGATAGGACACTGAAACCCAGTCCCAAACTGCACTGGGGGAACAAGCTAAACCTCCTGCTCCCAGCAGTGTTCTAGAAATGCCAACATCTAGAGGTCTGGAATTGCTAGAAGTTCAAATCCTTTGCACTCCCCACCAATTTTCTATTACTTTAATCATTAAAAATTTACACTTTATCTCCTGTTTAAATGAATTCATTTCAACTTTTAGTCTATGAATCTTGTCTTGCTTGTGTTGGTAGAGGAAAATTTAGGAATGTGATTGATCCAACCCTAAATTTCTCTTTTTTTTTTCCCCTGATTGACAGATTGATTCATCTTTGGAAATGAAATTTGAAAACCAACATGGGAATTTTCTCTATACAGCACCTACGGTAACCCATTTCATTACCATTTTAAATTTAGATATGTGACCTTTAAGATCTGATGCAGGAAATACATCTGTATGGGGGAAAAAAAGACAGCAATACACATAATGAAAACCTTGAGCAAAACATCTCCCAAGGTCTCTAAAATTAATGTTTTTAAATATCGCCTTTCAAATGCTGATTTTATCAAACTGGTAATCATTATATACAGATTTATTTTGTGTTTTTGTTTTTCCTTCCTCATTTTTCTACTTCTGGAGACTTCAGGAGTTTTTCCAAAACACTGTGTTTCCACATCTATAACCCACATTCCTTCCCCTTCTCTCCTTTGCTCTCTCCAAGGGTTTCTGCCTTTCAGCCCCAGGTTTCAGCCCCTCACATCCCCTGCAGCCTCTTCGGCTGCTGCTGCCCGTACTGTGAGCCCAGGGGAGACAACTGTTGTGAAATCTGGAACCAGCAGAAAGGAAAAGAAATGCACACACTTGCTTCTCCACTCATCACCTTGTAGATGTGCAATCTCCCTCCTCATTTTCCATCTTAACCATTCGAAGATGTGAGATGAGTCCAGCGAAACCTAAACCCAGAAGGTTTGAATTAGAAATCTTGACACATAGTAAAATTCTGGTTTGTTTTGACTTGCTTTTCCAGTTTTGTATCTCTGGGGGACTGTCCTTCAGACATCCAGACTTTTCACTGCAGCCACAAGGGCTGCAAACAACCCAACAGAAAACCCCAACCAGGAGCAACAAAATAAAAAACCCCAAAACACTGAACAGTGTTAGTTCTTCTCATTCTTGCAGGTGAGGTTTAGCAAAAGCACCAGGTGAAACAAGAATTGGGATCAAACAAGGTGGCAATACTGGATACAGAAGCTTGATGCTCTTCTTCTCAGGTACAACTGTTTTAATCAAATGTAACTTCTGTGAAGCAGACAGTAAATAAAGAAGTCTTGTAATCTGACAAAATTCACTAGATTTACCAATATACTGATACCTTTTAATTAAGACACTTACTTGCCTTTAAATTTAGATTTGTCCTCCCCTGATTCTTTTCATGCTCTACGTGACTGTTTTCAAAGATAACTTTCTTCATTATTCCGTGCAGCCCATGAGCTACTCAGAGCATATAGAAGGGAGTATATGCCACATGCTCATTGCCACTTCCAGCAGAGAGATGCAAACCAGAAGGGTTTCTGCTTTCAGAAAAAGAAATGTACTGGCTATGGAATAACCAGCCCTGCTGAAGCTTTTCTCCTATACCCCAAAGTTGAAACACTAGCTCATTTTAGTCATGTCAGATTTACTATTTTTTAAAAAGAGATCATAAAAATGCGTCCTCTGAACTATTAATAGAAGCAATGTCTGCATTTGTAGCAATTAACAGCACCATAAGACAGTTGACCAGGGAGTGACAACAAAGATGATTACAACTGGGCATTAAACTAAACCAAACTGGAAGGCAGAGGGAAGGATACTAAATATTAGGATAAGACCATAAAAGTCTAGGGAGATACAATCATTGGGCTGCATTTAATGCAGTTCTGGTTCACTCATTGTGAGATCTGTGAGCCTGCAGGTTTGTCAAGGGAAACATTTCCAGATAACCCCCAGAACAGAATCTATGTCAGGACCTACCAGGTGTTTGAAGGCAGAGCATTCTTGGTGTGAAGTCCCCACCTCTCTGTTCACCTCTAGGTTTTCTTCTTTTAAACTGTCTCAGTTATGGGCTGCCCCCTTTTTCTCTTGAAAATGCTGCTCCTGGTCATGAGCTGCTGCCCAGGATTTCTCCACCTCTGCTAAGGGTGCAGCACAGATCTGCTTCCCGCTGGGAAGTGCACGGCTTTGGCCTCAGCTGCAGGACATCCAACGGAGGAGATGCTCTATAACCCAGCCTCAGGCACAGCTCAAACACTGAGCACAGCTTCTGCTTAGCTGGGCAGCTCCTTCCAGAAATTCTGAAAGAAACATCTGACCTGGAAGGTTTGTCCTGTCCCTGCTGTCAGGGAACGTCACTTAGGTGTGATGGGAACCCTTTGCACCAGCCACCTCCAAAGGGATTCGGAGCCCTGCCAGTGCCAATAGCAGAGGAACTGGAACGTTATGGTCTGAGTTCCCTCAGGCACCAGCTGTGCTTCAGGCACAGGGAAGTCTCTTCTCTTTCCCCTATACACTAGAAAAGCTCACTACTCTCACAGAATTATCACACATTAAATTAGCTCAGTCTCCCAGTGATTTACGAGTTGGTCACTTATCCGGATTTCTGGATTTTGAGAGGATTTTTGGTGGGTTTTTGGTTCTGCATCCCACACTCACCCTCGCTCCCACCACTGATGATTGCTCTGTGGTTGTTTTGGTTTTGGTTTTTTTAAACAAATCATCACAGGGAAGTTTTCCCAAACAAAACAAATGCATGTGATTATTTGGCAACCTCAGGGATTGTGCAACTACAACCACAGCCTATGCTGAAGCTCTCCTGGAGATATGGATTAATTGCCCACAGAAAATACTCAGTAAAAGCAAAGCAGCTTTATAGCAGTTTACTTGACACAGGAATTGAATCAAGGCCTGCCTGGCCAAAACCCAGCCCCACAACATGGGGAACAACAAAGATCAGCTTTCAGCAGTAAAGGTTTAATTCTGTAAGACAATTCTGGCCCTAATTTGTTTGCAAGTCATACTCTTGGCCAGGCCCTTCAACCTTTCTAATAGTAAAGTTATGTGTTTATAACCTTCTCTTTTTAAATTAAACCATTCAAAACCAAAATCAGATCATTTTCACTACTTTGTATTATGAAGGTGGAGAAAGAGACTGTGGTTCTATTACTAATCAAGGAACAACATTTGCCATTTTATAATCAACTTATGCTCCAAGGACCTTGTAGATCAGACAAAAATCCTGTACAACTCAGTAAGAAATCACCCAGGCACAAAACAGCTTCAATTCTCTTTGAGTCACACAAACTGTGAAAGGGGAAAAATGATTGCTCCTTGGCAGAGCAGTGTCAATGAGAACATGACACGTGAAATTAAGTCCTCCTGACTGTGGTGGGTTGACCCTGGCTGGATGAGCTGCATGAAGATGAGAGGAACTTGTCTATGTGAACACCAGGCAGAAAGCCCAGTGCACCCAGGTATCCATCCAGGGCAATGCCTGTTACTGTCTAACCAGCACAGTCTTCATCTACAAGGAGCATTTAACAGAAATTCAGCTGATAATAATCTGAAAATCTGACCAAAAGTAGAAGCTCTGGCATTGAAAGAAAAATTCCAACTTGTAGCTCCTCAGGAGAGTGAACAAGTACTGGTGTTAGGACATCACCAAAAGCAGCCAAATATGCCCCAGGAGCAGCCCATACCCACCATTAAGCACGAGTATCCTTAACAAGGATGTCCCTGCTGCAGTTCAGAAATACATATGCTGGAGGTTAAAAACATATGGACCTGGAAAGCCAAGATCACTTTGACTAAAGTCACCAACTTGAATTTGTGCAAACCCAAATGAGACATAATTCCCTCTTTCCTTTTTAGTACAAGAAAATAGCTGCTGACAATAATTCTTCCTCTCCAGCTGGTCTGGGACAGCTTCCCACAAGAAAAAAGAATGTTACCTTTTGCTTAGACAGATTCCCATGAGAATGAGACATGTACTAGAATAATTTAGCACAGCATAACAAATAGACAGAAGAGCCTGTTTAGAGCAGTTCAAACTCTATTGAAAGCTGGAACAAAACAATTATCTGTCTTTAAAGACTGGAGATAGGTGAAGGGACGTTTCATATTCTCTGAGGCATCTTCAAAAATGGTAGTAAACTGTCATCAGTGCAAGGCAAGACTGGTATTTATTATTATTTATTAGTATTAGCCCTGCCTAGAGGAGTCTGTTGGTTCAGCAGTGCCTGTATAGCCAGAACCTTCAGGTGCAAAGGTGAGGAGACTCCAAGAACAGTTTCCTCTAAATAGATTTGTGGAACCAGACAGAGGGAATATAGCATTGCATAAGCTTCTTCTTAAATTACTTCTGTACCACTCCTCTGTCCTAGTGGTACAGAACGAGCAGCCAGCAAAGACTAAGCTCTCTACTACTACCTCTGTGTCCTAAATTAGAAGCTCACCTCTGCATTAGCAAAAAAGTCTAAACCAGACGTTCCAGACTGTATCTGTCACTGAAGATACACTGTGTAACCAAGTCACCTTTGACAGGAGGCCCTAAAAACCAGAGTGGACCCACGATATTCCTCCATGTGCCCAAGAATGCTTTAGCTGTTGCAATTAGCATATGGGACTTGCACAGCCTTAAAAGAGAGGCAAGATTTATCTGCTGAGAACTCTGAAGGGCTCAAAAATGTTTTAAGAGCCAGAGCATTGCCTGGACCCTTCCAAGACAACGGAAAACACCCGTGAAGTCACTGTCACGTGACACTCACTCTCAGGTGCCAAACAAAAACCTGTTCCTTCAGCTAAAGCTGGGTATTTGTATTTTAATCACCATGGGTGGGAAGGTGTGAAATCCTTGTATGCTACTGAGCCAAACAGCACTTATGGAGTTCAGGCAACACTCCAACAGTGTTGGGGGCACCTCCTAACAGGCAGATACAGGGACACGTGTAAGATAAGGATGACACATATCTAGAAGAAGCCATAGGGACTCTTTAGCTTTTATCATTTCAAATGGAGCTGGAAGAGAACAGTAAACTCAATCAAGGGTGCCAGTGACACTTTGCAGCCCAAACACTCAGCAAGCCCCAAGATCTGGAGGCTGCAGAGAAAGGGAAAGTTTTTGCCTAAGGCCAAAGGACGAATTAAAAAGGGGCAGAGAACAACCCAGAGGCATTGGTCTATCCCTGGAATAAAATAAGCTTAATTCAAAGAACAACACAGCTACAATGAGCATTCCTAATTTCTCCAGCAGTTATGAACTAAAGGTAAAAACGACATTACAAGCTGCATGACTACACACCTGTACCTTCTATAGGCGCTGCCAAGACTAAAATACCCTGAAGTTTCAAGTATTTCTAGTATAAGCCATAGTAAGTTTGAGCAGATGCAGACCAAAATTCAGAGACAGTATAGAAATACTACACGTTTTCACTGTACTTACTTTGAATTTCTCTCCTCAGTATTCTCATATTTGTTATTCTCTTAGATTGTGCCTCCAATTCAAATCCTCCTCTGTAGAGCAATTATAATATTTAGCTAAATAACAAAATACTATTATGAGTGGTAAGTACTATTAGCTATGAGAATAATGAGTATTTGGTTACATACCCTTTTTCACATCTATTTTATCAACTTGCTTTTTTACCTCTATTACTACTGACTTTGTCCTTGCTGACTTCAGCTCCAGCTGTAGGAATTTTTCCAGGCAACTTGTGAAGTCAAGATTCATTTACTGTAAGGGAGCTACCACTATTGAACAAGTGGGTCATCAGAGAGCACTCCACTGTAAGAGCAAATAAAAAACAAAGTAGGGAAGAAACTTGCTCCAGGAAGCTTGCAAGTTTTAACAGAAGACGTCAATAGTATTAATTAACCCCCAATGTAAGTTTAAATCTGTGCAGAAGGAAAACATTGTTTTAAGTAGTGAAATATTTAACATGGAAAGCAAGTTATTCCCAGAAAGTGACACTTCCTTATAGAAAGAACTGATACAATTTTAGCTGTCATGCTTCTACCATAGGTCTTTCCTTGTCCAAAGCATTCCTTGGCAGCACATTCCAATATATTCCTGCACCTTGTTTCTATGTGGATAGATTACTGTGTTTTTCAGAGTTAAATTAGCAGAAGTGGACATTTACAAAGAGAATGATCAACACTACACACAGATGCTTTGTTATTCTGCAGTGACAACTACTCCTTCCCATGAAGTACTGACCTGGAAAAGTTTCTGAAAGAGAAAAACTTGAATAGGTGGATTAAAAAAAACCCCAAAAGCAAAAAAACCACCATAATGAACCCTCCCCCCAAAACCACACCCAACCCCATAACTTCAATTACTTTACTAAGTTATATTTGAAGTGTTTTGTGAAAGGCCAAATCTATAAATTTCAGGAATGAACGTGCTGCTCACATGTGAGGAGAGCAAAATGCTAAGCTGCAACAGAGCTCAACAGAAAACACTTCCTACAGTCATGCAACTGGGGATGCAAAACAGAAACTAGGAATAAACCACTCCTCTAGCAAGGCAGTGTTACACTTCTAACCCCCTGTATTTTATCCTGGAATAGATTACTGCTATAAATAAAGGAATTTAATAGCTGCAAGCCAACCACCTACTTCAGAAGGCAAGGAATGCTGCCAAGAGAGAATTACAGCAACGTTATTCCACCACTGCACTTTGAAAAAACAAGCATTATAAAATATGAATTAAGCTGAAACACAGCTTTCAGTCCAATTACAGCAACACACGACTTTTTATATAACCTTAATCCTCCCATTGACCCTCCTCATCAAAAGAATGAAATAAGAAAAACTGATTTCTGGGTTTTGGTGGGTTTTTTTCCTCCTCTTTTGCTCTGTAAAAGTAGAGAAGTAGCAAAGCAAAAGCAAACCCTGTCCCCTTTCTGTCCCTGTTGATTGGCCTCTTATACATCACACAGGTCAAGACATATTAAGTCATAACCTCTTCTTACACATGCCCTTTCTGTGGAAAGGGCAAAAAATGCACTTACCTCTCAGATAAGAGAGGTATGAAAACCCCTATTATTTTACACTTACTGAAAGCATTTCTCTCCAACTGGATGTTAGATGTGAGCACCCACTCAGCACTTCATCTAGAGCTAAATTTTACCTGCAGAAAACATATTTTTGTACAGTCAGCACCAAACAAGACCTTCAGAACTGTCATCAGAAGAAGACAGTTAGTGCTAGTGGACATGTATTTGAGGCGGAAAAAGGTTTCTAACATCCCATAGTAAGCAGTCTACATTTTTCCCTTCCTATTTTTGGTTAAAAGCT